GAAGAAGACTTGAAGCACTAGAAATGTGGTTTTACAGAAGGATGCTGAGAATACCAGGGACTGGATATATGACCAATGACAAAGTTTTAGGGAAAATAGAGACACTTATACTTAACATCAGGAAGAGATAGTTGAAATTTCTAAAGCACAGAATGAGGAAAGGGGGTTTGGAAAATTTGATACTCACAGGACAGATTAAAGGCAAGAGGGATAGAGGAAAAAATGCATAACCTACCTCACAAAGTAAATGGATAGTGGGGCAAGGTTTAGGAGGGATAACAAAAAGACAAAATTTATCAAGAGCCATGATTGCTAAAGTTCTGAATATTGTCAGTGATACAAATTTCTATGAAAAAAATGATAAACGTAAAATAATTTTTGAAACACAAGAATTCAACAAATCAATTAAAACGTTAGTTTTTAATGAGGATGAAACATCATCAGAACTGATTAATTACCGCACTAAAATACATACCTGGACATTATAGTCTAACCAAAACAAACCACACTTTCCAATGCAACCTATAATATGAGGGATTGGCAGTGCTTTTCAGGGATTTTTCCAGTGTTTCTATATGTTTTTGACCTAATAATGTTTCATTGTCGGTTTCTAATTGGCATATATTTGTGAGGTGATAATTGATCATCAATGTCACAGAGTGAGATATCAAAGGTCTCCAATGAGCTCAAATCCCCATCATTTTAAAATAAAAGGAACATCATCTGACTACCAAAAATAGATGTCCTCAAAAGGAACAAGCAGTGAGATCCATTTATTGGAACTTTTTTTTTTTAATCATATCACCCCATGCAAGACAGTAAAGCCACTAAAGCACAAGAGATTACTGAATATGAAAGAATAATAATAATAAAAAAAGAAACATTAATAGGGAGTGAGAGCAATAGAAGAGGAACCAAGAATACACTAGATAATGATTAACATTGAATTTAAATTTTTGAAGATTAAATTTGGCTGGAAATCATGGAGACAGAAGAGAATTTCACAGGCAAGACGTGTGAGAAAAGTAGCTGTTAGCATAAAACAGTTACATGTAGCCAATTCAACTGTGAATTGATGAGATCTTGCTGCTAATCTAGTCATTAAATTCATGAAGTCTCGGTACCATAGTGAAGAGTTCATCTAAACAGTTATCAGGAAAGTATTTATAAAAAAAAGCACAGGGAAGATACATTACTATGGTAGGAAAGTGACGAAATCTGAGACGCTAGGTCAGGATCAATAATATTACTGATTCTTCTTTGGATTTTATCAAGAATCTCTAATTATACAGCAGGAACATCAGACTATATGTGGCAACAATATTCATTGCATGGATGAATGGCAACTTATAAATATCTAAGATAGATTCAGGGGAGAAAAATTGTCTAGCACAACACAATGAATTAATTTTCTTAGCAGCAGACCTAGCAATGGATTCAATACAATCTCACCACTTCATGTCAGCTGAGAACATAAGATTGAGAGGGTGCAATGAGTCACTCTCATGGCGGTTAGTATCAGCCATGCTGAAGGTGCCCTTGAAGTGATTCATAGAATGAAGTTTTATTTTGGAGGTGTAAAAATTTACAAGTCATTCCTTGCCTCACTCAGTTAACAACAGACTGTAGCTCATTTTTGAGATCAGCTGCCAATTCGAACTGATCAGACAACTATTGAAACAGGTGTAAACAGTTATGTCATTAGCATATATATCAAGTTGAGACCTGATGTCAGGAAGGTTACTGATGAAAATTGAGAAAAGAGTAAGTTCCAGGATAGTGGCCAGGGGGGACACATGCATTAGTACAAAAAGATCTAGAAGAGTGGCCATTCAGGACAATATTCATTTTGTGATTTGAAAAGAAAGACTGAATTAAATCAAAAATTTGTCTGGAAATACTATAGCCTTTCAACTTATGAGCAAGAAAGGTATTCCAAACCCTATTAAATGCTTTCGAGATGTTCAGTCTGAGCTTCTCCAGTCTTATCTAAAGCTTGATAGACTCTTTCTACAATAATGATTAGTGCATCAGCAGTTCACCTAGAAAGGAAAAGCCATATTGCTTGTCTGTAAGAAGGCCCAGCAATGTGAGATGCTTAACCAATTCAGAGTTGATTAGGGCCTCTAGTAGTTTTCCAAAAAGAGGTAAAAGTCTAATAGGCCAATAGTTTGAAGGGTCAGACAGTTCACCTGAGTTCTTAAAGAGTGGAACAACATAGAAGAATTTCCAACAATATGGAAAGCAAGAGGCAGCAAAGTATTTATTATACAGTTTAGAGAGAACAGGAGACATTTTAGGAGTACATTTTTTAAGGATTATTACAGATATCATCAAATCCATATGCTTTGTGGGGATCCAGATTAGAGATGATAGCAGAAATCATGGAAGGAGTTATATGCATATCACTCAACAGAAAGTTCTAAGTGGAAAGTCAGGCAAAGATACTCCAGATGAGTCAAGAGTAGAGTTTTAGGAGAAATTATGGGCAAAAATATCTGCTTCATCAGCAGAGGTTGTTAACAGCTCATATTGAGTATAGAGAGAAAGAATAGAAAACTTACTCATTTATTATTTATTATAGAGCCTTAAGTAGTCACAAGAGCTAAAGTTGTTTGAGACTTGAAAACTAATTCACAAGCCATGGAAATCTTCAGAAGGATCTACAGGCAATTGACACAAAAGAGAGTAAGGAATGCAATTAGTCAAACACTTCACTGTATAGGATTGTCTTCTTGGACTTCAAGAAAGTTTCCTCTGTTGAAGCCCTGGCATGTGAAGGCTTGTCTTAAATGTACTGATTATGATCTCAAGAAGCCTGCTTTTTCTGAGACAAAATATTATGCTCTAACAAGAATAAAATCAAATTCTTTGGCAGAAATATTTTGATATACATCTAGAGAAAAAAGCACATTTACTATGAACTTCAAAATATTATCCTGATGGTAGTGAAGGTTATAGAGCAGTAAATAATTATATGCCTGCCAACATTTATATATACAAAAATATCTGTAAATATAAGGAAACAACAAAACGACTATTATTTATTATTTAGTTGTTATGTTGGAGATATGCGAGACAGTAATATTGAGTAAAATTGTGAAGTTGGGATTAAATGTAGATCAAATATGGATCAGAATCTAACAGAATGATAAGATAAAGAATAAGTAAAATCTATAGAGTTTTTCTCATATTTTTTATAGATGTATGTAAAGAGTGTCCAGATAATCTAGTTGGAAAAATACAAGAAGTGCCTAGGGGTTTTAACCTCAAATTTTTGTTGAGTGATAAAAGATAAATGTTACTATTATGGCCTGAAAAGGACAAGGACATGAAACTTTCATTGATGTACATGTTAACGATCTGTCTGTGTGAACTATTTGTATGATAGTGAGTGTCATATGTTTGAGTGTGTAGGGGAGAAAAGTAGGATTGATTGTCATTGATTTAGAATGAGTGAATTAGTGATAATTGTAATTGTTATAATTATTTTTTTTTATGGACACAACAAGTATAGTGATTTGAGTTTGTTTTTTTTGTTTTTTTTCCTCCAGTAGTACAGATGCCCTAAATACAATCAAATGAATATTGAGTCATGTTATAGATTATGAAACAATGAAACAAAACATGCTCTGATCTGTGAAATTTCTCAAACTAGTGAGAGGTTGGATTTTCAGCAAGATAATAATCCCAAGCTTACTGTAGTGAAAAAGAAAGAGAAGTTCCAGGCAAAGAAAGTAAAGGCTTTACAGTGGTCTGACCTAGATATTCTAGAAAATCTGTGAAAGAGTTTTGAATTCAGCGGAATCCAAAATCTTGAGTTATTTTAAAACAATATGTCAGCAAAAATTACCAAAAATTATTACAAATAATTGTTGCATGAATTAATTGATTTGAATTAACACTACTGATATGTGTCTAAAACATTTGCAGGTTACTTTTTGTTGTATTTGTCAATAAATTCATGTGTAGGCAAACATTTCTTTATTTCTTCTTCTTTTTCAATTTTTAATCATTTCACCCCAAGCAAGGTAATAAAGTTACAAGATGCAAGGTATCTTGAGTGTGAAAGAATATGAGAAAAGAAAAAAAACATTAAGGAAAGAGAACAATAGAAGAACAGGAATTAAACAGACAGAAGGTGATGATTGACAGTGCATTTAAATTTTTGAAAATCAAAGTTGATTGGGAAGCATGGAACCAGAAGAAACTTATGGTTACATCTGGCAATTTCAATTATAAAATGATGAAACCTAGTTGCCAGGTACTGAAATTCTTTCTACACAGAATATTGTAAGTATATTCAGTTCATGGTTTAGGTTAGTAGCATTAATAGAAATTATTTTCTTAAAAAGTGAGTGCATTACTGTTGTATGACATTGAATATACAGACAATATATGCAGAGATATGTAAATGGAAATATATGTTGCTTATATTTAATTTCCAGTAATTGTTACACCAGAAACCAAATTCAAAGTGTTATCTTATCACTTAGAAGGCTGTGAATGATGTTCTAATGAGTGTATTATAAATGGATTGCATGTTAATATCCAATGAAAAGATTTTGGTTCAAGTCTAGCTGAGAACATGAAAACGACCATGAATATAATCATATTTGTAATATATAGTTTTGGAAAATAAATTTTAAAATATTAATAGCTTTTAAGGATTTAAAAAACAAAAACAGTTAAGAAAAATAGAAAATAAAATTAAAAATTAAACAATAATTATAATCCTGGGGGTTTTAGTAGAAATAAATATGCAACATCAAGAGAAATGAAGCCCTTGTGACTTTACACTTTGTCATTTTGTCCAGCTCAAAGTAATTTAGTGTTTCACGGTGATTTGTAAATCTCAATTGTACAGGAAAATAAAACACTAAAAATTCAAGGTGTTTAGAGTAGATAACTTACGCCTTCATATTTCTTTAAATATTCCATATTAATGGTTGGAGTCTTTCTTCAATCTCTGGATCATCCTGTAAGGTGCAGACAGGACACTACTGAGGAAGAAAAAGAGAAAAAAAAGATTTGATAGCGTTTCACAATCAGAATAATAATTACATACAAACATAGTCTTGTAGAGGAAACAGAATCATGACTTGTTAGAGTAAATGAGAATGGAGAAACAATAAAAATAAAATAACACCAACAATAAAATAGCCTGGAGCAGAATGTGAAACCATGTCTTATCAAGTCACTTGGAGAATTTTCTCTTTTTGCCATACAGACTATACATGTGAATCCAACTTTTAATCATTTATGTTGCAACATTGATTAATGGCTATATGGACAAACACAACATTCCAATGTAAGTTTAAAGTTTCACAGCTTGATACAGACAAATTTATCAATGGTGTTTGTAACCCTGCATCTATGTGTGCACAATATTGAAATGAATCAAAGTAAAATGATTCTATTTCCATAGTCTTTCATTGTTTGGCAGGATTGCATGAGTTTTTCTTTCTTTGTAAAAGTTCTATGAAGAAGGCAAGAATCTGGGATATTAACAGGGAGAAAAAAACTATAGATGAGCACAGGCGATAAAATATCTGTAGAAGTCTTCAGTGAGCTGATCACAGCAGTTCAGTAGAAACATTAATACTCAAGTTAAATGTTGATTTCTTACCTGAATGCCACTTGTAGATCAAATATTCAATTGAAACTGATCAGCTACAGTCATCATTTTGAAAGAAAATTGAAATAGAATAATGTAGTTTTAACCACCCTCCCTCACTTCCACTTAGTTAATCATCATCAGAAAGTCATATAAAAGAAAAAGTTTAAAAGACATAAACAAAGCAAGTTAGAAAATATTTTCTACTACATATTAAACACTTGAGTTCATTAGAAAGAATACAGTTACAGAACCAATTTGAAAGCAGCCAGCAAAATTGCCTTCAAATAAAAAAACACAACACAAAGAAGCAAAATGTAAAATTGATAATCAAATAGATTGAATTAAAATGATGATAAAATGTTAACTGCTTTGAGAACTATCATATGATAATTGTGCTTGTCCCTCTATTCATTAGTTCACACAACCGTTATGCCCTGCCAATGCCTTATAAATAATGGACTACTTTGTTTTGACCACATGGAAAGACAAAAGACTTATCCAAGATGTTACTATTGGCTATTCTGTTTTGATAGCATGAAAAGATATATAAAAGACACTACTTAGTTTTAGTAAAAAAAAAAAAAAGGAAGAAAGAGAACATCCATTTCAGTGAAATGTAAAAAGGTGTCAATTTCAAATCTTTTCATTTGTACCCACTTAAAATAATGACCAGCATTTATATTTATGATTGTTATTGTTGCAATATTTTGTTAAAGTTGTTAAGCTCAAATATTTAACGATGAAATAAAGGAATTTCTACAGATATTTTATTGTAGCAAAACTCACTAAAAGCTTATTCAATCATTAACATAAAAATTAAAATTCATCAAAACTTTTCATGGGTTAAAACTAGTGCATATAGTTTGATACTTAGTAAGCACTTTAGAAAAGTAGCCTTGTGTCTGATATGATTTATTTCTAATCAAGCCAAACATGATGTAATAAAGAAAATTTAGGAATAGAGATTGACTGCTGCCTTCAGTTTGTCTTGGCAAATTGTGCAAAGTGGGGGACAACTTCCAACTGGAGATCACCTAATGTGATGCTGGTACCAGGCTCTTTCAATAAGAATTTATGCATTAAGATCTTTTCCATGAATGACCTTGATTTAAATGACTGGAAAACAAAACTGAAACTTAAGATTTACTAACACTTAAAAATCTTCAAATGAAGCAATAGCAGTCGCAGCATGGTTAGCTACAAAATGCACGAAATGGAAAGATTCAAGACTGTAGAATGAAAGCAGAGAGAAAGCTGATAAAAAGTCAACAGTAGTGGTTGCCATGATAGAAAATGTCTTGATTGGATAAAACAACATTTTGCTTGTTGTTATAGCAACCAGAGATAAGCAGGTCCTCTATAAATGCTATCTGTGAATCAATAGCTTTAAACAGGATCTTTATAAAAGCTGGAGGCTCCATTTTGGTTCTCACTTCTCACTGGATATTTTCATCCAGACTTTAAGAAATACATTTTTTTTTTTACCTTGTACAGTAATTAGATTAATTAAATTACTTAATTTGAAACCAGAAAGAACTATTCACCTTTCTTTACAACTCCGAAAAAAAAAAAAAAATGGTATAGAGGATTGTTTACTTGATAAACCTAAAAATAGGCATCTACAGAATTATAATGTAGGTTTTTAAAAGCCTACAATAGCAAATTATGACCTATAAATGACCTATAAAATTATCCTGATGCCAGAAAAAAAGGATTTTGAAGACAATCATTAACAATTTTATTTCTTCATTATCATTTGACTCAAGTCTTATTGACTTTAAATTATGTCAGTGCAGGGCAATAATGGATTTTATTCCAAGTTTTATAGAAAATGACAAAAAGTCTGTCTTGTTTTCTGAATATTGGACCTGACATGATGGAAATGACACCCATCACTAGCAGATCTTAATAATTGTGAATATGCTCAAAATTTAAGTTGTTTCATGAAGTGAAATCATCATTATTAGGACATCACACAGATTGCCCCCAACAAAGTGATAATGACAAAAATAATTTGCCTGGATTCACTTATGTAATGGAAAATATTTTGAACTGAATCTGTACAACTAACTCCTCCTAAGTGGATAATTAAAAAAAAAATTTATTTTTTTTTTTTTTTTTTTAAAGGAGGTTTGAAAAACTTCAATTGCTAACAAGTAGAGATCTTTAAAAATTATCAACTGAATTCATGAAAAAAAAGGGGAAAAAAAATTATCAGTTGGTGTGTTTTCTTTTTTGATCTGTGTTCTTATTAAGTGGGAATATCAAGTTATGAGATTGACAGGAAGCTGAACAAAGACAGGTTGGTGCTGAGAGCTCTACTAATCAGATTATCAGGCAAAGCTGGCAAAGATTAAAGGCGAAATCAGATCCTGTAAATGTGTTCATCTTGTTAACAATATTTGGCACTGTTTACACACACAAGCACATACACAACAACAACACTGTGAGCAGCTGAGCCCACACAGATTCAACAATTACCAGACCAGATGGAATTTGGCAGAGCATAAACTGTAATTAAAGGCACCTCATAAGAGACATGCAGAAGAAAGGATTACTGAAGGTAACACATCAGCTATATTGTGTGTGAACTACTCACACTAACAAAGGTTTCTTTTATAAAATGACTAATAGATTTCAATTAAAATTTTTTAATTATTTTCCTAGTTTCTCACATTTTTCTTCTATGTGCAGTATCTCTTCAGGACATAGGTGATCATGGCTCTCCACAATTTCCTGTCCTTTGTAGCTCTTAATAAATTTTGTTTTTTGTTATTTTTCCTAAACCTTGTTCTACCATCCATTTACTCAAACTCACTAGGTTTATGTTTTGTTTTCTTCTCTCCCTCTAACTTTCAATCTGTCTTGTGAGTATCAAATTTTCCAAGCCCTTTTTTCTCATTATGTACTCTAGTAATTTCAACTATCTCCTCCTGATATTAAGTACAAGTATCTTTTTTGTTTTCATATTCTCTAAAACTTTATCATTGCTCACATGTTCAGTCCATGACATTCTCAGCATCCTTCTGTAGAACCACATTTCTGTTGCTTCAAGTCTCTTCTTCACTTGTGAGTAGATTGTCCAGTATTCACTGCTATATAGGAGGACTTATATTACAGAAGAGTTTAGTACTCTTTCCTGTTTCTTAATAGTTTGCTTGACTTTTGGAAGGCATCTTTTGCTATGCAAATACGCCTTCAGATTTCAGTGCTGCACTTTCCATCTTCTGTTAAAACATTTCCCAGACATTTAAATTGTTGCACTTGCTTGATTTTGGTATGTCCAATTTGTAATTTGCATGTTGGCCTGTTTCATTTTGCTAACAATCATGCATTCTCCTTTTTTTTCACTTTCCTTCACTACCTTCTCTCAAGTTTTCTTTCTATATCTGCTATCAACATTGTATCATCTACGTATCTTATAATGTTAAGATTGTGGCTGCTAATAATGAATTGTATTAGGACTCCTAATTCTCTCAGAATCAACTCACTGTATAGGTTGAATAAGTCTATTGAGTAAACATATCCTTGTCTTACATCTCTTTCTATTTTTGTATATTTACTAAACTCATTTTCTATCCATATGCAAGGGGTTTGCGGCCAGTATAGGTTCTGGTTTATTTTAATATCCTTCGCAAATATGTCATGGTTACCTAACAGTTCTTTGTGACATACTTAAACACTTTTGCATACTTGATCTTGTGTCACACACATGTGTGTGTGTGTGTGTATATGCAATATTTATGGCATCTGTTCAAGATTAGTATTAAAATCTAGACATGATGCTATTTTTGTCTATCATTTTAAGAGACATTTTGCATTCATAGTAATAAATATAAATTTGGTTCAAGCCTGTAAGAATGGTATATCTATAGAGATACACACACTGATAACTCTAAATAGAAAAGAGAAGATCTTTGTAGAAACTAGTTTTCCAGACAAGCCAATGCTTAAATTCAGAAACAAATTTTGATATTTCTGTTGTTCAAGACGAGAAATTGAAGTGTAGCAAACTGAATAGAGCAGTACAAGGCTGAGAAGATGCAGCATGCAAGAAATATTATGAGAATATGTTTCTGAGAAAGCTTGCTCTGATACAGTTAAATTGCTGAGAGAACAATAGCTTATTGAAAACTATAAGGAATTCATTTAGTTTTGACTTAAGGAAGGAGTTTGTAACATTCCATTGTTTGGTAAAAGGGATTATTGAATAACAAGCAGGGATCATTTAATTGTGGTTGGATGAATTGGAGGCATTCCATTCTTTAGTAAAAGTAGAAAATCCCAGCAAGACACAAATAATAGTAGGAAGATTTAGTTTGCAAATGACAATAATTTTAGTAAATTAAATAAAATGGACAAGAATTAAAAGAAAAAAACAAC